CTCTTAATTTACGTATCTTCTTAAAAGGCTGTAAAAGAGCTTTAGATGAGTTGGCCAACAGAAGGTTTTGAATGACTCAGGCAGTATGACCAAGAGGAAGAAGGAAACTGCCTGCTGCCTGTTGTGCCACTGTTGTGCTACATCATCTTCCCAAGCTCACAGACATGAAGCTGCAGCCAGAGAGTCTGTGGGAGGCAAGCTTGCTCTTCTGACCAGATTATCTCTCTCCGTTAGAATCTGTAGCTCATTACATGATTTTGGCTGTGGTGTTACTGGAGGCTACCGCTGTCACCAAGGGCTACTTTTCCAAAAAGACAGCCACCATGTAACACCATGAAAATGAGTATTACAACCTTGTGCTCTGAAGGCACTTACTGCATTCAGACTTCGAAAACAAGTGTTGCATCAGAGAAGAACCGATAATAAAAAACATAGATCAACCTCCTGCCACATCATATACATGTGGCCCACATTAATCATCTGAGTAAGCCACACTGAAGTCTGAAGTGCCGTTTCACGACAGGAACTTAGATCTCTTTACACAAAAATGTATCCTATCTGGGTCGCAAGGAGCTGAAAAAATCCTATTGGTGCCCATGGCTGTTTAATGTATCCAAGTTTGACCCAGGCATTTAAATATTTCCATAACACCAAGAGCAATAAAAAACCCCATGCATAATCTTTTGGTTGTGCAATCTTCATGTACTTTGACCGAAGTCTTTCGTACTGCAAGCAGTAGGTGGCATGCTTAAAAAATAAATAGTATTCTCAGGAAAATGTTCTCATGCTGTTTTATTGCTGTTCTTAAAACTCAGATGGAAAACAATCTATGAAAGGATAAATGGAAAATGTTGAAAACTTGAGCTCTTTAGATATAACTGAAATGCATAAGGTAATTACAGTAAAACTCTAGGGTGAATCAAAAAACAGGACAGAGTCCCAGCCTACCACAGAAATGGGATAATCGAAGCAGAACTCCAACCCCAAATTCGTGAACTGAATATGTTATTACTCATTGCATAGCAAAAAAGTATCATCAGCATCACCTTTGTCAAATATGCAAATGAGCGATTACATTCTTGCCAAGTAAATTACCCCTTGAGTTTCATATTGGGAAGACAAGGTATACAGCACTCTTGTGGCAGTGCTCCCTGCTGTTAAAGTCTTGTTCCTTACTCTAAATTGGCTCATTTCAGAGGGGTGGGTCAAGAGATCCCTTTGGGTAGATTTAGCAAAGCCAGCAAGTTTTGTTAAGTGCTTTGAGAATCTTTAGGTTGATCAGCATAGAGAAAACAGAAGATCATTATCATTTGCAAAGCAGATGGAATGTTATGAGAACAATGTCCCTGGGATTTATTTTGTTAGCTATGTAGGCAAGGAAGGAAGAAAAGCAACATGCTAACTCTAGGCATGGACCAGCCCCTGTGAGTGCAGCACATCTGTCTGGAGGTGCAAAGGAAACACTACATTTAGTTCACATTACTGTGAAAAAAATGATGCAGCTGGCTATACCCTCCTATGCCATGGCTACATGATGAAAACCACTGGGGTTGTTGGAGCTTTATACTTTTGTTATTCTTACATTCAGGAACTGATTTATTACTGTGGCTATAGAGGAGGAAGAGAGGAAAAGCCAAACATTTTGTGTGCTCTGCATCTGGCAAGACATAAAACACTTCAATTTCAAGCATGAGACAGGTCACTGACAGTGACAGACATGGCTGGCAACATCTCAGTTCAGCAGCAGTAACTCATCATCCGAGCTGAGTGTAATTGTCACCAGGTGTCAAGTCCCATTGTCTCCGGCTGTGGGGCTCCAGGCTCCCAAGGAAATTACCACGTGAAATTCTCCTATACAGTGTGGTTTTTGCATTTGCCAGGATGAACTGACACCAAAGAAAATCCCCTCTGCATTCCTTTTGACAGTTAATATCTTTATCAAATCCTCTTGAGTGTCACAGAAAGCAGGGAATAAAGAAAACAAGTTTCTCCTCTCAGTGGCTGAAACTTGATCACTTTTATTTAAAAGGGCTGAGAAATGCAATGACTTATATTGCACCATTTTCTTCTGAGGAAGACCTTGGAAACTATTAATGTCTCTGAGCATCACTGTGCCCTACTCAGGAAGAATAATGCCTCCCCTCCAACTAACGAGAAAGCAGAAAATTATTCTCATCTCCAGTGTAATGCAGAAGATAAAGCAATGAATGCAAAATATCCAGAGCTGCAGTTTACGTATCTGTGCTATAATGGACCCTGTGCTGACACAGAGGATTAACAAAACATAAGAACAAGTTAAAGATATGTTAAAATTTTTAACAAATCACAGATGTGTGAGGCCACACTGATCACCTACAAACAGTCAGAAGCTAATCAAAGTATAAAATGAATTTAACTGTAATTAACTCTTGCAGAATTATGGAAATGCTGAACATCAGTATTGTGCATTTTTATGCACATTTCAAATTTTCAATACATTTCTGGTATTAACTATCGCTGCTACATTAAGAATCCTGTATTATTTGGAAACTTATATGTCTTATCTTTTCTACTAATCCTTAGTAGAACTTTCTTCCAATTAACATCAGATGTTTATAGAGTATTTTAAAACAAGGGCACCATTACATGAAAAAAATGCATAAAATGTTCGTTTGAAGGATCTGTACTAGCATGCCAAGCTATTACTCTGGCTAAATACAGTGATTTGGCATGGAATAAAGCTAACAGAAAACCAAGCCTTTTCTTTTACTAAGAGTTTTTGTGGAGTTGTATAACAGTAATACCGACAATATCTATTAACGCTTGAAGACTGATATTTCTCCAGCGGTGTACAAAGACTCTTTACTTCTGTAAGAAAGGAGGAAAATGATCCTAAAGGGTCCCAAAGTCAAGAACTGTAGCTGCATTCATTAAACTAAAAAGAAAATGTGGTTACATGTTAGTCTGTGTGTGGGAGCCCACCCCAAAAAGAAAGCTTTGCCTTAATTAGCTGAATTTGGTAGTTTCCAATGACTCTGCAAGTAGAATCAAAGAGATCTTCAAGAACACCTTAAAACTCATTTATCAACTGCCAACCAAGAAAACTTAAATACCTAGATCAAAAACTGATGAAACTCCTAATGTAATGCATTACCCAGAGCTGCTTCTACCCTGGCTATGTCTCACAGTATACTGAGCATTCACAGGTCAACATCAGATGGTGACCTGGTAAAGGTTTGACACAAGAACATGAATGAGGTGTTTTCCTACTTCCTTGCACTGAACTGCAGACCCTGTAGACTGGAAGGGGCTCCTAGAAGTCACCCAGTCCTTTCCTCCACTTGAAGCAGGTCCAATTAGAGCAGGTTGCTTGGCATCATGATGTGTTGAGTTTTGAATCCAAGGATGTTGAGAATTCACAACTTCTCTGGGTCCTTGTTCCAATGTATGATCACGCTGATGGTGACAACCTTTTCTTCATATTTAATTGCAATGTCCCACCTTGCAACTTGTGTTCATTGCCTCTCACCCAGACACCAAGCACCTTGAGAAGAGTTCAGATGCTTTCTCCCCTTAGGTAGTTATACCCTCCCATTAGATAGCTGTCAACATCAGTAAGTCCTCCCTTTAGCTTTCTCTAAAGAAACTTAGTTCTCTCAGCCTCTTCTCATAGATCAGATGCTACGGACCTTCACCTCTCAATGTTATTCGTACACTGTGGAGCCCACAAGTGGACACAGTACTCCTGATAGGAGCCAAATACAGGGGAAGAATCCCTTCCAGCAACCTGCTGGCTGGATGCATACAGCAGAATATGCAGATGGCCTCCTTCAGCACAGGGGTACCCTACTGATTTTGATAGCTGGGCAGGTTTTTCAAAGACGGCTGAAGAGAGTTGCTTTTAATCCTGCCCCTATAGAAGCCTGATATTCTTGAGAGATTTTTCTAGCGCCACCTTCCTAAATGTATTATAACAGCACCATTATTCCCAGACCCATGTGAGTTTACTGGCAGATGTAGTTATTTTACAGGCAGAAAACAACCAGGACCCCAATAATATGTGAACCATAAAAGCAATACAAGCCATCTCTGTAATTATTTTCTGATGTTCAGAGATATGTTTGTTCTCCTGGAGCTCTTTTCCTTGGTTCTATTTGAAATCACCTGTAGTAAAAAAGATTAGCCTTTGTGCCTATCAACCTATAATGCCTTATTTAGCCAGCGGGAGTTTCCGATGTGAATGAATCCTAGGGTCTAGCCAGAGTACCACTCCGCCTGTCTGCTTCAATCAGAAGACTGATTCATATCTGAATATTTTAAAAAATCAAAATTGATTGATATGAGAATCACTTGACCTGTTCCCTGCAAGACTTCAGAAGCATAACACTAGATACAAATTCGATGGAACTAAAAACAGAATATATGTTATATTAGACAGAAATTATTTTAGAATACTTGCTCCAAATTATCTGTGTCCATTACTCCTAGAACTCCAACCATTTGTTTCCTTTACTCTGGCAAATATTTCCATACTTTTACTTATTTTTGTGGAGTTATTTCCACCTTTGTAACATTCTGATCAGATTGTGTTTTTCTTCAGAAGTAGCTTAAACATCATTAAATAATGATGGGGAGGGTAAACAAAACAATACAAAGACAAATTTCGGTATTTTTACTCAAGTTAGAGAGCATCAAATTTTTACGTGGAATTATGTCACAGTAAAGCATATTCAAGAGAGGTATTATCATTTAGACCTAATACAATATACATCAGTGCTGATTTCTGTCTCCAATAAAATTCATATCAATACACTGTATCTTCTGCACATAATTAACATCTATAGGAAACATAAAAACGCACAGAAAGTAAAAAGAGCATATTTATGGATTTATATAGACATTTTTGTAGATAAGAAATATGTTTAAACAACCATTTCTGAAAGCTGTAAGTTGTACAGATAAGCGTCGATTGCAAATTATAATGCAGTGGAGGAAAAGGACTGTTGCTAAGTTCATCTTACCTGTTCCAAGAAACAAGACGTGATATCTTCCATCAGCAGCATTCACTCGATCCACAGCAATCTTTGTATACTTGTAGTCGGCTCCTATCCGGATGATTAATGGCCTCTTGTGTATTGGATAAATAGGATTAAACATCAAAGGGTGATTCCTGATGAAGGTCACAACATCATCTGGAAACTCTTTGGTTGTCCGCATATTAGGTGTGAAGGCTCCACCTGGACACTGTAAGAAACATGCACAGCAACGCTTAACAATACTTACCATCTTTCAGAGAGTTTTCATCTCCAAGTCATTTACAAATATTGACATATAGTTGACAAAATAAATTCTCAAAAGAGCACTTCAGGCTTTGACTGAAAGTAATTCTACTCCAGTAATGGGAATAAAGTGCTTGAATAGCTACGCTCTGTACTCCCATCAATTCAGATAAAGAAAACAGAAACATATTTTTGCACTTTCAAAACTCAGATTGATACTGAAGATCCACGCTTCTGGGCCTATTTCCATATTCTTTATGTTTCCAAACTGTCTGTTGAAAACAAAAATTCCAAGCGATCAGTATGGGAAGATACCAAACTTCTGCAGCAGGTTTGTTACAGATTATGTACAAAGGCAAAATTTAAAATTTGATATTAACTGTAATTTGTTCAATATCCCTCTAGTCATTAAATTGATTATGAGATGGTGAGAGGGCCTGAGACTCATCTTCAGTTGAAAAAAACAATATGGAGTTGATGAGAGGGTCCCATGGCAACTCATTTACATCTGAGAAGATTGACCATTCACAGCATCTTGTCTACACTTTCCCCTCTGCTTGAAAAATAACAGAGCTCCATGAATACTCTGCATGCTGCTTTACATGTAATGAAGAACCAGCCAAATAATCAGCCCTGAGACATTCTGGACCTCATGAGGAAATAAAAGTGATTGTAGAAATCTCAAGTGTTTACTGAGAATGAAACTAAAAAAGAAGACTGCGGGAAGAAATCAGGAATTATGTTAGTAACTGGTACAATGTTCTGGAGGTGCCTATGCTAATTTACATGACTTCTTTTCAGCCACCGTTATCAGGCTTCTTATTGCTGCTCCAGAGCTTCCATTTCACCCATTACCAGATATCTGAGTTGTGAAACTCTCCTTGAAGTATTGGAATTATTCAGAGATATTTTGACACAATGTTTTTCCAGTTGGAAAATATTGCTTTGTTAAGTATGAAGCATTTCATGGAAACTTCTTTATTTTGATGAGGACCATTCTTACGTCTAGCATGGAATTTCTGGTCAAAACCACAAATACAAAAATAGCTAGTAGCTTAGGGAGAGATTTACCTCACCTGACTTCTACTGCGTCAAAATCAGGCAGTTATTCTTAGTTAGCCATCTAGGTTTCCTCTGCAGTTAGTAATTAAGACTAGATGCCCTGCTTTTAGATGGCTAAAATTACATAAAATGAATCATACTCTGAGAGACTAGGAAACTTGTGGACGATATATGAGTCATATGTCCAACCTACCTGATGTAAGCAAATGTTAGAATCTGGGTCTTCACCTCCCAGGTGATCCCTCTAACCACAAGGCAGGAGTGTCCATTCCTTTGCTGCCAAATCTGTGCCATCTTGTGCACATAATAAACTATTCATTGGGCAATACCAGGAACCAAGTAGAGAGGGGACTTCAGCCTAATCCCAGGCTTTAGAAACATCTTCTGGCTCAATTAGGTTTTAATTATTGATGCAAAGTAGAACTGCTCTAGTAGGAGTTCTTTAAAAGAAACTGCTGCAGCATTAGTTACCTTCAGGATGAAGAACTGGAACTCAGCTCAGATATGGGTATCTCTTCCCCTTGATATTTGATTCTTCTGGACTCAATTATCCTGAGGGTTTTGGTTTGGTTCTCATTAGAAATGACACCACATGCTAGCCCTCTAAGAGTGATCACAAAATTGAATTTTGATTATCTTGTTTGCACTACTCCTTCCCTCTCCGGCACTTCCATCCACAGTCTTCCAGGAAATGTATGGAGCTATCTGCTAAGTTTAGCAATAAATGATGAAAAAGAACTGTGTTCATAAAACTGTGGACTATTAGTAAGATTATTTTACTTGCTAGTGACCTGCCAGATCCCAGTTCCCCTCCAGAGGGATTCTGTTTCACAAGCAGTTCAAATCAAACTTTCCTGTCCTGCACAGATCAGTTACAAGGTGAGTTTCTCTGATGCTTTCTATCCTTCCATTCTTGACTTGCAGATCATAAGACCTTTGTCTGTGACTTCCTGCAAAAATGTCTGTGCTATGATTCACTCCAGTATGACCCTAAAAGCTTACATTATATTATTATTCTGAGCAAAGCCATAACAAACATCTTTAATCAATTAATTCTTTTGCTATTCCCTGTATAAACCAATGACAAGCAAAAAACATTACTGAAGAACGCTATAAGCTCTCCCTTTCCTGAAGGGATTGAATGTGTATCCTTCACACCTCATTCAAGGACTTGGCTAGACCATAATTATGTTCACAGTTGATCACCATGCAGTTAGACTGCAGAGGGAAAGAACCTTAATTTACAGCATATTCCCCAACATGTTGTAGGTACAAAAGCTGTTTCTGTAAACTCTGAAAAATGGAAACTATCTTCAAACATCACTGAATTTAGTAACAAACTGCCAATTATGTAACTGTTTTCCCTTTCTTTTTCCATAGTAAATTTTGCTTGTGGAGAAATAAGAAACCATTGGTATTTAGTGAAGGACAGCCAAATGCTGAGGAGTTGATTATGGCCAAATGAACGTATTGCTTTATTTAACCATACTGAAACTATACTGCACCCTCTTCATTGTTTATCCAACGTACTGCGACACAATGAACATTCATTTCTGCCTAGAGGTTTATGAATATGTCTTTAGGCATTTCTAAAGTAAGATTTTCCATGTCTCATAAAAAAACATCCTTGCCTAGTCCAGCATCCCCAAAGTTGCAAAAAAAAAAAAAAAAATTTCAAAGGAGAGAGATTCATGCTCCATAGTTTGGAATTGTGGCTATTCAAAGTTAACATTCTGAACACAATATCTAAGCAGCAAAAAATTCCCATGTCTCAATTTTTACAGGTGCTTTAACATAAGTGAAAAATAGAGCTGGTAGCACACATTTAAAGTGGAACTTTTTGGCAATGAAGTAAAAGCAAAGCCAAACAAGTCCCCGCTTAGGAAATACACCTTTAAGGTACTGTGCTGTAGCTGAATTGTGAGGAAGCACAGGAAAGCCAGAGGTAAACATAAATGATTATCTTAAAAGAAACTCTTCTAGCTTTATTTTTTTTTTCTGTGAACTATGAATTTATCTACAAATTCTGATCTGACCTGCACATGTGAAAATTAGAGATAATTTTTGACACCACATTCAATCCAAATCTGAATTTTCTTTTTCCCTTTCCTTTGTGCTGCTCAATTTCTTTAGGCCCATCTGGAATACCTCATAAGCCTCCATGAGGCGAACCAAGAATAACACAGCAGTGGTTGAGGAAACACATACAAATACAATATTCTGAAGCAGCAAGAGGCTCTGAAATGTGACTAATCACAAGAGCATGAAACTTCCTGTTTAAATGGGCCTTCTTTTTAGTAAAGTTTAAGCTTAAAGTCTCAGTGAACTCATGAGATTAGAACTGTATGAATTAATTTTAAAGACAGAATAATGCTAGCATTAGACCTTAGTGGAATATCAGGTATTGATTAGCTAATTCTGGAGACCTAGGAACATGAAGTCCTAAATCTTACAGCCGGTAATAACTACACTAAATTGTCATGAAGAACTGTGTGAACGGGGAGTGTTATTCCAAGTATCTGAGCATTAGCGTACTAGAAGGACCAAGATCTACAGCACAAAGACAAATCTGAATGAAATAGTAATTTGGTTAAGGTTTCTTGCAGTGACATGCAAAATTAAAATAGAATTTAATCTCCTGTGATAAATGAAAAAGCAACAAAGTGTTAATTTAAAAAAAAACCCACAAAACAAAACAAACTACATTGTTGAGGGATAATTTATGAGACTGTGCATACTTACTGAATTCTGATACTTAAGAAATTGTAAGAAGACTCTACAGGAATCAACCAAAGTCTAAACCACCATACTTCATTTAGCAAATATGGATTTAGAAAACATTCTAGAGAAATTTTCAAGGCATACAAGAAGCATTCTTAACAAGGAAGACTACTATGAACTGGTTGGCATGAAAATTCATCAACTTCTAGGTCTCTCTTCTAAGATTCAATGTCTAAAAGGGTATTAGACCTAGTCAAATAACAAGTCCCAGAAGCCTTGTTCTCCTACGACATCTCCCAAGCATCCCAGGAGAGCTGCAAAACTGTAAGAGAACTATGGAAAATTCATACAGACTGAGGACAGACTTACAGACATTTGGATCCAGACTATAGATGTATGCTTTTTTCTTTTATCTCTTTTGCTCAAACATATACACAAAATGCAAATGTACATGTAAATAATATGACTGTCATCTAACGAAATAATTCTTACCACCTTTTCAGCAGAAATAGCAAGAGTAATTAGCATTTTGCACAGCTTTTAATCCTTTCTAGATTTCCAGATACTACATGATTTGTTTGGCAAGCTGAGAAGCAAATAAAATCGTTAAGAACTGTAACTCATTGTCATAGTCCGTTCTCCTGGAATCAATAATATTTATTTATGTATTAAACAAAGACGAGTAATTGGCAAGCCTGCATAAACATCTTTGTACTTACGGTGCCAGGTCGTGGGTAGGGAATTCTGCCCTGATATGGAATCAGCTGGTGGTTTGGGCCCTCCTTGTGTGCAAATGGCCCATTGAACACGGTCTGGATGTCCGATAGATGATACACACACACAGCTGAGCCTTTAAATATGGAGCTGGAAGACAGTAGGAAAAAGTTAGTATTGCAATCTACTGACTTTTGTATAGCTTTTCCATCATTTTACATAGTCCAATGATGCAAGATACCTCTAAAATAATGTATTGAATACAATTGAATGCTTCTATAATGTGGATTTAATACATTTAAAATCAGCTAAGCTAGCTTCCCAATATACACCATTATTTCTTAAGACCTAGCACTTTTTTGAATGGTGAAATGAAAAAGGAAGGAGGAAGGTACTACCCTTCTGGTAAAATAAGAAAATTTCCTGATTTTGAATATAAAAGAAATATAATCTGGCCTCAGTTAAATCAATAGCAAAAATATTGCTGACCTCAGTGAGGCAAGAGTTTTATAAACTTTGTACTGCCAAGCTCAGCACAGGTTTCCAGAACTCCCCACCAGTATATTAACCACAAGACCTCCATGAGCCTCCTAAAATACATGGCTAAAATCTTATCAAAACATCCAGCACAGTTACAATTTGTTAGATTATTACAATCTGCTGCCAGATTTTTCTAAGCAAAATAGGGACAGGTGGGGCTGTAAAGGAATCACTCTTGTATAGTCCTCAAATCCACCCACAAAACTGGTCTTATAAAGACCCCTTCAAGAGGGTTGAAGTTTGATGCTTGCTGAGGAGAAACTGTGGGGCCATCTATGAGAAGAGCATGTTTTTCCACTGCTCTGGGTTCAGCAATTGTCTCAGATGCTGCCTCAGCCAGCACAAGCTCTGAACAGCCTCCAATGGAGGGCAATAGCGGAGTAACTTCCAGCATGATACTAAGGCTGACTGGAGTGAATTAACTTCTTTTTCCCTCTCACTCCATGTAAGATTTGGAATATTTATCTTAACAAAACGGAAACTCCGAACAGTCTGAAATCAGCCTGATGTTAACAGTAGGATGAAGATAATCCAAGCAAGGCTCTGTTTTCAATTGTGAAATTAAAAAAACCCTTCACAAAAAAAACCCCAAAACATTACACATAGTGTCTAAACAAGGGAATTGCAATCCACATTGCTCTCAGATATATACGTGTATTAGCAAGAGGAACCTTTTAGGTGGATTATGGTATTTGTGGAAATTTTAGTAGGTATTAAATAGGTTTTATGAAATGTATTTAATTTTTCCACATGTTTTATGTTAGATTTACAGCAGATCATGCCACCAAAATAATTAGATTCAATATTATTTGGTTTCCTTCTCTATGGTTTAGATAAAAGTACTAGTAGTTATTATTTACTGGGATGTTTCTCTCTTGCTACTCTTATGAGCAGAAGGTCTACAGAGGTGAAGACAAAGGAACTGCTAAGGGCTAAAAATCATTATGATTGCTCTATTTAACTAGGTAAGACAGTCCATCTACAGTCAAGCAAAGAGAAAGCAAGCATAGATCACATGGTTTATGATAACAGAATAGAGAGAGAAAGCACTTCGTAGCCAGGAAAAAGTGAAGTTTTCTCTTTGTTGCCACCTTATATGGTCCTGTCATTCAAACCTCATTTCCACTGCAGGAATACCAGGAGAATTAGGTAAAAGTGTTTCCAGTTCAGGCATGCTGCATCCACAACCTAATCATAAGTGTGGTTTTACTGCTATACATAACCTCAGCATTTTCCCTTTTTGTGCAGCAGGAGTCATAAAATGTAGTCAGCACCAGATGTTTACAAGTTATGGGATTTTTTTTTTTCCCAATTAAGTGTAATAAAATCATATTTTCCTGGCTGCTTCACACATTTGAGAAAGCAGATCCCTGGATCCACATGAAAAAAGACAGAAAAAAGTACGGGGAAAAAAATATTTTTCATGCAAAGATTTCTTTACTGGAAATTGCCATTAAAAAGCTACTAATAATAAGGAAAATAATTTTCTAATTTGATTGAATAAATTAAATTAAATTAAATTTAAAAAAAAGCTAAACAACTCTCTTTGAAGGTAAGTAATAACAGCTAAATAAACAGAGTAGCATATCAGAAATCAGTAAGCAGTAACTATTTCTACTCTGTATACCAACACCGTGAGGTGAGGGCAAGAGAAAAGTGAAAAAAATGAAGTTAGAAATGGCAGAATCTGTTAATCCACCTGTCAGTCCATCTTTGTGGAGAGTTTCAGCACAGTAAGCCATACCTGGTACTTCCAATGCCCTTGGGAGCTCACTGAATGCTTTCTAAACTGAACTGTAAGTGAATACTAATGACTGATAACAGGGAACTTAAGGCTGCAAGGAGGTGATCAAATGCCATATAAGCTTGTCTTTTTGTAACCAACTGAAGCCAGCATGGGTTATTTGCCATCTGTGCGATCATCTGCCAGCTGAGAGACTGGAAATTATTTGTATGAATTCATGTAAGAATTCCCGGTTTGATCCTTCAGGCTGCTGGATGTCCTTCAGGAGGTGTTAAATGTTCTCAGATGTCACATGAGTTCACTCTATTGAAGTCATCTAGCTTTCCGCTGCTGAACGTTAACAAGTGGCCCTCCACGGAAATGTTTCCGCCGTGCCAGCTGACAGTAAGTGAGGGAACAGTTTGCTCCAAGCAGCGTAGCTCTAACACGGATACCAACTCTAATGATACTGAGACTGTCACTCCTGCATGCCACATGCCACAGAAGAGATATAAACTTGCGCAGCACAGCCTTGACCACAAACCATCACAGTTTTCATATAGAAAATCAGGCAGTTCAGAAAAGTAATGTTTTAAAAATCTCCCAATTTACCTTGATGTTGTAAAAATTCCGTACACAAGCGTTGTTCGGGGGTTATCTGTCTCTAAAAGAAACACATCCTCTGTAAGAAAGAAAAGGAAAAAGGAAAAATGTTTAGAATGCTAATAAAAAAATTATTTTCCTGTTTAATTTCTGACTTTATTAAAAAAAAAAAACTAGTTTTGTCTCAGACATGAATGGGAAAAAGCAGACTGACCTTATAAATGGACCATATGCACATATGCACTTCAGGGGAAGTTAGAGGAAAAACCTCTTCAGTGAAAGAGTGGTCAGGCTTTGGAACAGGCTGCCCAGGGAAGTGGTGGAGTCACCATTCTTGGAGTAGTTCAAGAAACGTGTAGACATGGTGCTTGAGGACACGGTATAGTGGGGATGGTAGTGTTGGGTTGATGGCTGGGCTGGATGATCTTATAGGTCTTTTCCAACCTTAGTGATTCTGTGATTTATTGACTGCACTATGCAAAACTATACCTACTCACTGAACAGATCTTGCCCAGCTTTACCACTGATCTGTGGATGTTTTTCTACAGTTGAGTGAAAGATACTTTAATCTGACAGTTTCTCCTTACAAATGTTTTTAATAACTATTATCAAACTACTTCTTAAACTTATTTTACAGCACACAAGACTGAATTCTTTGAGATTTTATCATAAAATATGTTCTTCAGCTTTCCATTAATTTATGTGACTCCTTCATTATCCCTCTGAAATTCTAAACATTCTGTTAAATATGTCAAAAGCAAAAGACTTCACCATGAAGGACTGGTGGTGTTACACTCTTCTGCATTATACATGAATTTCCAGGTACACTTGTATTCTTACTCTTTGCTACAGGATTGTACTGGGAGCCCAAGATGAGAGCACTGTCTCCTATTCTGTATGGTCCTGTATTTTGTCATACAGAAAACTAAAAGCAGTTACGCTAGTGCTTTGTTGGGAGGAGTGTGCTGGTAAATCACAGCTCTAAAAGAAAGTTGCTGTGACAGTCCTAGGAGGAGCTGGGAACTTCCAAAAGTCAGTTCTCCAAACCCTTTTAATATTGAGTTAAACCAAGTTAGGATCTGCTCTTATGCCCATCAGGTTCCATTGAAATATTGAACCAAAATAAGTATACCAAATATTTGTAAAGATATAAAGTAAAAAAATTCCAAACTGCATTTGTTATGAACAGAATCAGGAATAATGACAGAGAAAAGAGAAAGATTACAATGGAGACAAGGTCAAAATCAGATGCAGCTCCAGTGTGGGTGTGATTAGATATTTATAATACTTATATTTGTATTTAGATTTAGATTTATACTAATAAACATACCAGATCTTCCAATACCTGAACTTAGAACTGTGACTTTGTATTGTCACAGCTGTGGATAATATAGAGTTTGAAAATTCCTGATAATGTTGCTTGGCACTTAAATATCATTATATGAATCTATTAATTCCTTATACACCTTGTGACTGCTGTATAGATTATTCACTGAACATTTATTCATAGTATTATTGCTTGTTCGAGTAACAGGATTTGTTAGTATTATCTTGAACTATCAAACTGAGGTCTGTACCCAGTGATCAAAACAGAAAAGATCTATTACCAAAAAGCTGTATGTTACACAGTTGTGTAAGAAACAGTTTCAAAGAGATGTAGATTAAAAAACCTTTATTGTAATCCTAACTAGGAGCAAAATAACAATAGACTTCACTTACATGTTCCTTTCCAAATTTTAATTCTTTACATATATAATTCCTTTACATAGTCAAGATTAATTAACTTTTTTTCAAAGATAATGATAATTACCAAGAGAGATTTATGAAGGATCATTTCATTTCCTGTCATAAAACTGCAAGGGGAATTTTGTCATAAATTTCCACAGGGCCAAGATTTTACAGTCAAAAACTTGACTAAGGAGCTCTATGAACATCAATAATTAAATATGCAGAGGGTGAAGGACTTCTTACATACATTTTTTAAGGGATTTTCTTGCCATACCTAATTCATCAAAGTACGTTTCTGTTCCATCTTCATCCATTACTGAGCATACGAGTCTTGCTTTCAAGAATGTTGTCCATTTGTTCACGAGACTACGCTGGCCGCCTGTGTCATTCTGGAAAGGAATATTATTTTCAGGGAAAAAACCCAACCAAACAACCAAACAACCAAACAACAACAACAAAACCACAACACAGATAAGTTTTTACTGGCCTTTCCCACATTTTCCTCAGCTTAATTTGAGTCATCATCTAGATAATTATGCTGGTATATTCAATATAGATAAGCCTAAACCAAATACCTTCATCTAAACACTCTAGATACTGGAAAAATGCAGGATACAGGACTTTCTGTGCTGGGCTAGCAGGCTTTGGAGGGTTGGGCAGTAGATATCTACACACACAGCATCAGTGTGTGTAGGTATGATTGCAAAGGACTGTGGAGGTTTTGACACTGAAACCTAGGGTGGAGAACCCCCTGCTACCTCTAAAAGGTCTAATAGGCCTGTGGAGGGGTGTTTCTTCTAATCCTGAGAGCAGTACAGCTGTATCTGACCTAGGAAGCCATGCTGACCCACGAGATGGGTGCCCTGAACAAAATTCCAAAATGATGGCTAGCTTGGGTCAAGCTACTTTTGCACTGCTGCAAGACCTGCCAGCTTGGTCCTGAGCTGGCTTGGTAACAGCTCGCTCAAGGATATATCCAGCTCTCTCCAGTGCAAGGTGGAAACCATAACTGCTAAACCAGATGGTGCAGCTCCTGCCTCATTCTGCTGGTGACCTCCTTAGATAGCAGTAGTATCTTCCAACTGCATAGCACAACATCACCCAAGGAAAGGGAAAAAGTAAATACAGAAGCTAGGCAAATGTGATTTCAATGAAATGCTGTTCATGTTTCACTGGTGCTCGTGAAGCTGGTGATCGGACTTTTTGGGTGACACATAGGGGGTCTTTTAGGGCAGTCTTTCACGGCACCATTGTACTAATATATTTGGTCACTCTCAAAGGTGGTGATATATGAATATGATGGTATACAAGTATACAAATACGACTGGCTCAGGTTTATTTTCATTGGCTTCGGGATTCTGCCACTGACTTCAGTGTAAGTCTAAACAGCCTTTCAGAAATCATCTGGGCTTCATTATAAAGGTAACACTAACAAATAAAATGCAGCTAAAATTGTGTGAAACATCTTGCAAAATACCCAAAAAGGCCTTTGGGCACCCTGACAAAAATATAGAAATTTGTTATAAGAGATCACGTCTCATCATATTGCTGAAGAAGTTTAACATGATCCTAAATACCCTCAGACCCAATTACCTAACATCACAAAGCATCAAATTCTGAAGACCCAGTTTAAAGGCAAAGAATACACAAATGCTCACAATTATTTTCCTGAACCTTTACAAAAGAAGGAATGAAAAGGATGACAGTAATTGTGCATTTATAATTTTGTATTCATTAAAAAAAATCAATTTCACCAGATATATTAATAGCTGTATCAATAATTTTTCATCTACAGTTGATTATAGACACAAAAAAAGAAACAATGAGGACAGATGCAATCATAAAATAATTATTGCACAGGAGTAGCCATAACTCCTGAATCTAACCTTTCTGTGCACTTTTTTAAAGTTAGGCTCACACATCAATGTGAGAACTCAGAGAAGACAAATATTGTAAAAATGAAAACAAGATTTGAAGTTAAGTCAACCCATTTAAAATCTTGGCTCTCATATTTCTAGTGTGTTTCAGAGCTTCTGAGTGTGTTTATGTGTGTGTGTGTGAAAGACTTCACTGTCTTATAATTCAGTTTTTCTAAGAAAAGAATGTACCTCATTCAAGCAAAGAACAGCAAGTTTGGAAATTTAACAGTGGTAATTACTGTGGGTCAGTCAGATTCCTGACTGATTCCCATCTAATTCCCAAATCTCTAAATTTCCATATCATTATAGGTATAGACAAATATACATAGCGTGTTCAGACCTTAGCTGTCTGTTCAGTAACAGCTCTTCTTAATTATGAATATGGAAGCTGAAACAGCAAATTTGTTTCGAATGTGAACCAAAGGTTTTTCAATCATTTACTCTTTTAGCTCATCATATCACGCTAGCAGCTTGTCCCAACAACCTGGCAAACAAAATAGTTCTTACTGGGCATATTCTTGCAATCATTGAATGAATTTGCTTTGTGCTGCCACTGTTGTCTGTGAGTCTCTCTTTGAAGAAGAAGTAGATTTTGGCATCATTGGGGTCAGTGCCATCTGGGATAACATGAGCATCCACAAAAATAGGCTCTGAAATGAAACATCATACCAAAAAGATGAAACCAAAAGTTGTATCAGTATAAGCAAATAATGATTTGATAGTTACTGATTGATTACTGTTTCAAGGAAACACTACATAATGCCTACAGAGGTATTGCCGTGGCAGGTTAATCTATATGCTCTAGCCTCATATGTGGATATATCAGATATCATCAGGTAAATGGCTTCTTGCTGGCAGCCTTAAATTTCTGCATCGTCACATTTTATCCCCCAGCAGATATTTAGAAAAGCAATCAAATTACAGACGCAATAGTATTAGATTACTACAAAAACACTCGTTAAAGCAAAAACCTAAAAGTAAGATGCTAAAAGACTCTTTAGGAAAAGAACAAATAAAGTACTTAGAAAATGCATAAATAAGAGAGAAAATTAGCTGTTGGAACTAGACAAGGAAAGCAGACTATGCAAATGCTTGAACAGCATTTGAGTTCATATCAGAGGTAGATAAACACACAAAACTGTAAAGGACCACTAGCATAATGTAAATTGTAATGTAATTTAAAATGTACATGATGACACACAGGTGACTCTGCACTAGTTTCTGGCAAACCCTTATTAGGCATCCACCTCTATTGGTGTTAGTACCTGAATAACATATGTTTCTGGCCATTTCCTATGTTAAAATAAAATGGACAGTGGAAGGAGCCCTCAGAAGACCTTCTCCTTTGTCTAAAGGAATTAGCTGCCTGCATGAAGGCTATACCTTTTCAACAATCATGCATGACTTTGATCATCTGAAATCCAGTACAAATCTTAAAACAACCCAATATAAAGGATTGGTCTCTGACAGAAAACTCACTTTAGACTGAAGGATTTTTCTGTTCTCATTAATCCATTCTAATTAATCTAAGCGTCATGACTCTCTCTAAAGGAACATGGAAATAAATTGTGCTTGTCAAATACCTGTTCTGAGCATATATATCAGGTATATTTTCCAGAAATTAGGGATTTTAATTTTTTTTTTTCCTAATTCACTTTAGAGAACACAATTTAGGGTGTGCAGATAAGTGTAAGAATACACTGGAAACAGAAGAAAAAATTAGGAAGGAGTTCCCCTTCCATAACGAATTGTATTTATTCTGATTGCAGTCCTGTGATTTGACTGTAGTCACAGCCACACAGGAATGACAAGAGTCTCCCAAAAAATGGTAAAGAAAAAACAGAGTAACTTCTGTTCAATATACCTGAAGGCTTTTTAAAATTGGAACTATGTTAGTTGCTCTTAACCTTTGACATCTGTCTCTGCTCAGAGGGTTGACCACCATTTTAATCATAGAATCACAGAATGGTTGGGTTGGAAGGGACCTTAAATATCACCTAGTTCCAACCCCACTGCCATGGGCAGGGACACCTTCCACTAGACCAGGTTGCTCAAAGCCTCACCCAGTCTGAAGTTGAAGACAGCCAGGGATGGGACATCCACAGCTTTTGTGGGAAACCCATTAAAAGCTCTGGTAAAACAAAGGCACCTCACCACTCAGCCACTTGGAGTTGTGCTGGTCGGTTCGCACTGCATTCCTCCTGGTCAGACTCCGAAAAATGGCCGCATCCGTCCCCATGAAATCAATGTACATTCCTGAAAAAAGCTCTTCATCTGCAAAGAATTGAAATGGAGGGGAAAAAGAAAATGCATTGTTATGGTTTTTAGGAAGTTTGTATTTACTGATCTGTTTTTATTTTAAACTCGTCAGCTCTTTATTTACATAGGAGTCTACACAGATAAATACTGGGTCATGGGAATGGGTTTCCCTCTGATTTACAAAGACACAATCTAGAATGCATGAGAATCATCACATTTTTCTTAAAGACTTGAGGGAACTCCATCATTAAATGCAAGAGCAGAACTGTGTATGTGGTGAACCTTTGATACGAAGTTTAGTTGCTCAACTTTCACTGCTAATCACTGGAAAATCAGTCTAGTGTTATCAAAAAGAATCACAGTCAATTTTTTAAGCATGTACTTCAAAAAGGGTTTTTTTGTTATGGGAGTAGACAAAATGACTGGGCTGAATTTATTGCTGGTGTAAACTGGCACAACATCTATTGCAATCAATGGATCGGTGCCATTTTTTACCAACAGTATTGTCAAGGCTGCCCCAGGCAGCCTCAAGCTGACTTCAGTATTGCAGAGGCCAGACAATCATATTACTGAACTTGACATAGAGTAATATGGAACAACAATTGTCCCCTTTTATGTACTTGATCCTAAGTATAGGGTCATTATGGTTGAACAGAATTAAACACGCAACTCTTACATCAAGAGAACTACAAACTTCTGGCCTCTGTGCAGGGCAGAAAAGTCAGTCCATCAGTCAGGACACATGTCTGTGTGTAAGTATACATATATGAAATTTTAATTCTAATTACATATATTATCATCTTCTACTCTGTGAATAACCAAGCAATTTCCACTGACTAATGACAATGAAATCCCAGAGTAGAAAACAGTAGCTAAAATAAACTCTTAACTGTTGGAGTGGGAGTGGTGGCTGAATACATTCCAGTACAGCTGGGTCCTTTGATTGATGTTTTTGTCTGAATTCTTGGACGACCCAGAGAGTGTGGTCAAGCTGGCAAGAGTCACAGGTTCAGAAGTGCTTGAGGCTATTTTTATGCTCTGTGTGTGTGTGCATCAGTATGGAAGGCTATTGGCTCATGAGACAATTAAAACTCTGGAGATTTTGTTTTTCTGCTGCTGGCTAGAGCCTGAACTGAACCCCTGCAGAGCACCAGCAGCCACTCTTCTGCTCCCATCTCTCCCAGTGATGGCAAGATTCATACACAGGGGATTAAAACAATGCATTCACTGCATGTTTGTGAAGCATTTACTTCCTGAGCATTTCTTGACAGAATGTTAGATCTACACTGATTTATAAATGATTTTTCATATTGGCCTCATTGCCTCAATCCATCAGAGCTTTTTTTCCTATTATGAAATAAATTGGCTGAAAGAGATCAGGCTTACCGTTCTCACTAAATGTTATGTACAGTTCTATGCACATACAAAAATGCACACACTTTAATAATAGTAATACGCTATGTAATTTTAATCCTATTACATATCAAGGCTATTAGTTATGTCTTAAGCATTCCTAGTCTACTTGCTAATCATGTATCAGATGATATCCGTCAGCTCCACTTCCTTTTGGTTAAATTCTAAATTCCGCAGAGCACTTGATCTGTGCAGCCTAACTAGTTCACACTGCTTCTCTTTTGTTGTTGGGGGAATTACTGAATTGATGAGGTATGTCTGCTTTTATAAATATCTCAAGAGTCTTGGTGGGGAGAGAGACATGCATCCTGTACATTGGTTATACCAAGCTTCTTCAAAAGACATTTTTCATTGCTGTGATATAGAAGTGTCTTTGTACAATGGCAAATTGTACCAAGTTCAAATTTGGTTTTATAACATCACTTTCCTCTGAAGAGTGAATCAGCTTTCCTGATGTATTCTAGGCTGGTCTGGCCCAGAATTGTAAAGAAATTGCAGCTATACTTAGAAATGGTTCTTTTGTTGTGGAAGCGTTACCCGGTCTTACAGTATTTCCTATCTTCTGAAGCGAGGGGAAGGAATTCCTCCTGCAGAAGAATACTCAAAGGAGATTCCAGTAGATAGGCTACATCCTCGCATTTTAACTCAAGTTGTAATTCTCAAAATCTTACCTCTTACAGCATGGATATTGAGGTTAAATTCATTCAAGCTTAATGTTGTTGAAGTGACTAGAGTTTGTAGTAACAAGAAGAAAGTATAAAATTCAATCTGTGGGACTCTATTGAAAAAGAATGTGATCTTTGTGGAGTAATTTAACTTTGTAGATGAATTACGCCATGAAATATAAGTCAAATACTAGGGAAGTTTTCTTCAGTCACATAACTGAGAGATCAAGGAAGATAATGTGAAGTCTACTAAGAGGAACAAAGCTGTCATGTATCTATTGTAGAAGAATATCAACTGCCCGCATATACAGTAATTCAGAAACAATGTACTTCAATGGTGTTTCATAAAATCCAGAAGAACAATGAGAAGAAACTTCGTTTTCTAATCACAGTTGATTCAATTATAGGACAACAGCAATGAGTAGCAGTGGATTAATCCATCACTGAGTTTGAACAAACATTTCCTTTACACAGTGGGTGTCTTCAAACACTGACGATAGATCACTGATGAGATACAGACATAAGTGCAGCCAAAGCGCAGAGAGGTATCTATGTAGCATTTGCCTGTCTTCTAAAGGTGCTTCAGTTCATACCTCTGTGAATGAAATTATTTGTCCTTTGCACCAAATACATTTGCAATTAGGAATAAAAAAAAAAGCACTAATTGAATAGACTGTGTGGGATACACTGTATGAGACTCAAACTTTAAAGGAAATATCTGGCAAAATACGTAATTGCCATTGATTTCAACAGAATTCAAATGGCAGAAATACCACATATTGTTCCTTTGTAAACCCCTTGAGTGAAACACTCAGTACCTGTGTGCAATAAATTTTATTTCTAAGAAAGCCTGAAAAATCTTTGTAACAGCTGTGCCCTTCGTAGCCAAAATATAGCAAGGACTAGGCACATCTTGAGAAATCAAAGCTTTGCACGAGAAGTCGGTGAATATGCTGTAAATGTGAAAGGTTGGGTTAAAGTAAGTCTATATAATGTGCCTCCTGGTTGGGTAAAAAGTCTCTCTTACTAAAGACTTAGTTTACACAAAGTGTATGCTCCCTTTGAGTTTTCAGTTGAGTGTACAACAGGCACCGCAGCAATACTATGCATGGTGTACATCTCACAGTCACTGAGTACAGTCACCACCAATTCACAAGAATATTTGAGGTGTGTCAGTTGTATCACTTTCTGGCTTTTCAAATGGAAGAAAAATGCAAAATCGGTTGGGTATACAGCCAATTGAAGAATCAAGAGCCTTTCAATAGCTGGTGGGCTCTACAGCAGAGATGACAACAAAAATGAAATTCAAAGTAACTAAAGTCTTCAGGCTGTCTTTCCCTGGCTACTCTGAGATTTCACAAATAATTAAATGAGACACAAGTGCTGTCTAGGATGAACAAGGTCAGAAACTGTTCAAACACAAAATGCTAGACTGGGTAATGCAAAGTTGAAGTTAACCCTGGGAAAAATGTGTAAGCTGGAAAACGGACAATCTTTTGTTTTCTGTTTATCTCTCTCTCTCCCTTTCAACAGTTTATTTCTTCATTTCATTCATACATCCACATTTAGCTTCATGTGAACCTTGAAACAAGGATTGATCCAACCCCATCAGCGAGACACAAAGTACTGCTCTTTGGAGGCTGAAATCTGTCCAGCTCATTTCAAGCATCCTGTCAGTCCACATCACGCATGATCACATGGATTCAGACCTCAGCAACCTCACAGTTTTTACTTACTGATCATAACAGACACTGTGTTCACATTAGGGTTGAAAGAACAGCGTCCCTTTCCTGATTCACACTTGGAGTCGATCTTGAAGATTTGTTCCTGCAATGTAGATTTGTGTGTCACTTGTCATTTCAGAAACCATCAGATGTAAAATGATTTTTATGCTTGGCCATTTCCAGTGTTAACAATGCTCAGCACTGCTGGGCACTTTTGCTCTACCACCAACAGTTTAGTTTTCCTATTCAGAATTTCAGCATCGTTTTAGACAACTTTTTCTTTGGTACCCAGCTATTTTCAAGACTCTTGTTATGAATTCAAGACACTGAAACAAAGAATTTTTCCCTCTAGCTCAGTTATGCTTTGGAGAGATGACTGATCTCTGCAATAACATCTGTGGAGATTACTTCAGTGTTTTTGAAGTTATTTATCGTTTATTTGCTGAATTCATGGTGATGCTTATACAAGTCCAGGAGATTACAATAAAGCTACTAGACCAGTAACAAATATTAAATAAAAATCTCTTATGACAATTGTCATTTGGTGATAGTATAAATAATTTGCTCTTTACTGAGCTATCAGACCTCCAAAATCCCCTAAATCATATTGGTTTCCTTTATCACCATCTCTTGGATTACATGCAGAGCTCTAACTCCACAGTGATAGGTGATTTATTGGTATGTTTTTCCATGGCCTGAAATTTCTTGAAATTTTTTTCTCTTTAGGAATCTTGGTATGGGACTTAGTTTATAGTTTATGTGATTCATAAATAGGAAATATATTTGGCCAACTACAAGCAACCTGGACTACAGCTTGAAATACAAACTGTCTGAGTATCCTTAGAAAATCCACCCATCTTGGTGCACCTCTTCACTTCTTCACTCCCAGCAATACTGAAGAGCACAGTATGCTGAACAGGAAGGGACTCTAGGGTACAAGTCCATTCTTTAAAAATTGCAGTCAGTAATGGCAGAGATATCGATCCATAGCACACAGACTCACATACCATTGTATACCAAACAAAGAACTTGTTTCTAGCCTCCTATAGCAAACTTCTAATCTTTAATAAAAGGCCTGAAGGCACAGTTGCAAGGAAAAAGAAATCCAAACTCAAAATATTTTTATTCCAACTGAAAAATATAGCTGACAAAAATTCCAAATAAAGGCTTCTGTGATGTAGATGCCAATGTATTAGTTATTCAATTAAGGGCAGCAGCTCTTTATAATCCTTTTAACAATAAATGTAAATCTCAGGGGAATGCGGATGCCATGCAGATCACTGAGCAGTCATTTGGCGACAGCAAATGGGAAACTCCACCAACCTGAAATGTTCAGCTACAGCAGGAAGTTTTCATATCCATTATCCCCTATCTCTTTTCCCCCTCTTCTACTTTGCCTAATTTAATAAAAAAGATCTTATCTATTATTTCAATAATAAGCTCCCTAAATAATGTTAAAACATAAGTATGATGTTTCTAATATAATCTTTTTTTTGTTGTCATTTTAATTCTAGATAATTATGCAGCTTGACGTTAATCCATATTTACTAAATTATACCACTATTTACCAATTCAGAATGCCCATTACTGCACTACTAAACTAGCTCCAGGATTTCGCTTGATTTTCATATATATTAAACTACTTTTTAGTCTATAATTAATTCACATAATGATTACATTTCCTTCTGTTTACATTTACTTTGACATTAGAATACCTTTAGTTGACTAAAAGAGTCATTACCAGAGACCAAAGTATCAAGTGTGCCAAGCAAGAAAATTAATTAATTTTTAGCCTCTTCTCAAAGAAACAGGCAGCATTCTGCCTCATCAGTGAAACCTTTTTTGTGAGATTATGTGGAGTCCTGAAGACAAAAGAGCAAAACAGGCCCAGTTCTTATGATTGTTGGATATGACTCTTACTGTCAGGCTTTGTAGTTTCTAGAGAAAAACAGATGTGCTTTCTAAAATATCCATTTTGTACGTGCAAACCCATCCTTCTGTGCATGGAAAACTGTAATAAATTACAGGTGAAATGATATAAGCAGAGAAAAAAATGAGTTCTCACTAGTCCCATCAGCAGCACTCATAGTTCTTCATTCTGCTCTATTAATTAGTCATGCATTCATGTATGAACTGAGTTCAGAAGGAAATGCTTGGTGTTATCTATTGTGCTGTTGGTGGCCTGTACAGTGATGGCTTTGAGCATGCGATGACTACAGTCAAGTGTCTGACAGACTCCAGATGTCCAAAACAGCAGTTCATTTAATGAATTGATCACAGGCATGTAGCTATACAGACAGGCTAAGTGAAGTCAGTTTTGCTCTTCCAAGACATGTACCTTTATTTTCAACGTAAGAAATTTAACATCTTGCATCATCTGGAGATGTAATTTCCTGCCTTACCTCCCACAACCTCATTTACAAACCCCCTAAAATAATGAGATTCAGAGTTCGCTGGGATACAGTACTACTACTTAAACTGATAAAGGAACATTTTATCAATTAGAGAGCAATGACATCACTTTCCATGTTCTAAATAATTTCTCAAGAAATAGAATAATGCTGTAGAAAGATAACCTCAGGTTCAAAATACATCAAAATAAGTTAGTGCAGGCTCCGTTAACCAGAAGGATGGTTTTACTTATTCAGTTCTGCTTGCTTGTGCTTTGAAATACAGGCCTAGCAATGTCTACTTCTAGAAAGTTCAATAGGACTGAAGGTGCAGTGACTCAGACTACATATTCTGTTAAGGAGGCTGGAGACAGGTAGCAATCTACCAAAAGTCACTGACATCATTCCATGCAAACCTACCCAGAGAAACAATGATTTATCACATCCTTGGCAACCTCTGCAGCGGTCTTGGGTCTTGGCCAGAATTCCCATCCCACTCCCAATGAAATCAGTGATGAATTTCCCAGTCTTTTCCTTAGGAGCCAACTCAGCAGTTAAAGCTGCCCTCACATGGCAAAACTCCAGGTAGCACGCTCTGATCTTCCCAACACATCTGCTTCCACATTGTACAGGAAAATATACTGCACAGTCCTGTGCCTGCAGACATGAATCTGACCCAAAAGCTACTGAGGTGCTGGGTCTCGGTTAAGCACTTCTCTTTCTCCTTCTGGTTGCTTAATTTATTACCTATTACATTTGCACATAAACAAACATTTCACTTTCAAATCAGGAAACTTGGACAAAATACTTGTGAAACATCTGGTACTTTGTATACTGAAAATATACAGTGAAACTGAACATAGGAAAACTGGAGACCTATCTACAGAAAATAAGATTTGTACCCTGAAAAATCCCACAATGATGAGAAAACTTACTGACTTCCTCCTGGCAGAATCTACTGGGGCAAAACTTGTGATGAAAGTTACCTGTACTGGGATTGCATCTAGTGGGTATTAAGCTGAAGTCCAGCAAACCTTCACATTCCTGAATAGTTAGCCCACTTAAGGGCTTCTCCCAGGAAATCAGTAACACATGGAAGTTATAAAAAGTGAACTGCATATTCTAGTTTTTATCTAACTGGCTATTTCCTTTCAAGTATTTCTTGGCAATTTTTCCAACAAATGGTAGGAATGAATTCAGCAGACGACGTCAAAAAAAAAGTAGTATCAAATGTAGCACAGAATTTAGCATGACACTGAAATTTTGGACAAGCATCATATTTGAGGCATGGTTTTTGATCATGGCTTTTCTTCTTGCTGGTAACAGGTCAGAAAACCATGAATCTCTGTTCTTGTTATATTTAACATGGGTGAAGAAACCTATTCAGGTCATTGATTTTTGCATTTTTAAAATTTTGCGTTTTGCATAACACGAGTAAGATCCACCACAAAATGAGTGGATAAAATGAAAAGAGACTTACCTCGGACCTGCGCCCTCTGTTAACATACACACACACGGGGCTGAAGGCGCCACTGCCACAGACATAGAGGTGTGTGCGATTGTACGACTGTATCACACGCACAAAATTTCCACAGCCATGCTGCAGGGAGAACAGACAAAAATAATTTCACACTGGCAAATGTTATGAAATGTTGGGAACTCTAGGGAATAGACATGGTTTGCTATTCTAATAGTATGAAAACTGCTACTGAGTTTGGTAGTCTCTGGAGTTGAACAGCTGTAGACTTCTGTTTTCTTTTCATGCCATTTTTCCTAGTCTGGGAACTGAGCATTGATAGGACACGAGAGCAGAGTCACAGAGGGTGCATGTAACTTTCCCATATCCACACAGTAATCTAATTTTTATCCACAGACTTCTCTGTACCATCCATAAGAAGAAGCAGGGCCTCTGCAGGAAAACAAGTATGCTCCTGAAATTTCCTTATGGACACCTCCAAAAGGCTCCTGGGAGACCTTATAGCAGCCTTCCAGTACCTGAAGGGGCTACAAGGAAGCTGGGAGGTGACTTTTTACAGGGTCTGTAGTGACAGGACAAGGGGTAACCGGTTTAACCTGAAAGTGGAAAGATTTAGATTAGATATCAGGAAGAAGTTCTTCATGGAGGGGGTGGTCAGACACTGGAACAGGATGCCCAGAGGAGCTGTGGATGCCCCATCCCTGGATGTCTTCAAGGCCGGATTGGATGAGGCTTTGAGCAACCTGGTCTAGTGGAAGGTGTCCCTGCCCAAGGACAGGGTTGGGGGGGTTGGAACTAGATGATCTTTAAGGTCCTTTCCAACCCAAACCATTCTGTGACTCTATGAAAACAGTCTTTTTTCCCCTCTATTTTTTTCATCATAGCTGGACATAATTAAAAACCAAAGAAAACCTAAATCTCCCGATACCATTTTTCGTGTAAAAGATTTACTTCCAAAACATTAACAGTGAACAACACACAAAGCAAGTCTGCAGTGAATTGTTGGTTCGCACTGAAGACCAACAATAACACCTTCAAATCAGCATGAAAATTAAACCATCGTGTGCCACACAGTTTCACACCTTTGGATGTGCAGGTTTCTCCTTCCAGCACACCCCTTTCTTCTCTTGCTTTTTGGGTTGGTGTTTTTTTTTTTTCTTTGGTTTTTGGTTGTGTTGTGGGGTGGGTTTTTTTGTTTGTTTTGTTTTGCTTTGTTTTTTTGACTACGATCAACTGTTAATGCAGTTTAGGCTGAAAAAAGTAATTTTTCTCTAAATCTTTTCTTACTGAGATCCCAGAACTGCTTTCATATTCAGTCATCCAAACCTTCACCAAAACCTGCATGTGTTTTTTGAGCAGGGGATTGGAAACTGTGTCATCAGTCACCTTCGTGAAAATCAGTAGAGTTAATCCTTGTTCAACAGACTGCACAGTTTATTTATATTTAAAGGCATTCACG